GGCGCATTGAAAATTGCTGAGCATTAAATGGGTAGAAAATGTGAAAAGTATAGAGCAGCTCTGAGATGTCTGTGCCTGGTTTTCAAAGGTCTGGTTCAGGACCAACAGCATCAACATTACTTGGGGAGCCTGATAAAATACAGACTCTCAGGCTTTACCTCATATCACTGAGTCAGAATTTATATTTTTAAAAACATCCTCATTTGATTTATATGCACATTGAAAGTGTGGGGAGCACTATTAATAAAGCCAGTCTTTTTTCAATAGGAAAGCCATGAGATCATTCTTTGTATGTGTGAATCTTTCCTAATAGGATATTTAGCATCCGTGAGCCCTAGGCACTAAATACCTATGAGCATACACCTCCCCCCCCCCATAATCATTTTAATTAGTTAATGTATGTCCACACATTTCAGATATGTACCCAGGGTACAGCACCACCTTCTGATTAAGAGCTATCTCTGTAAAGTTATCAAAAAACCAAAAACCAGATTGATATTTCTCAGCCTTTTAATATGTGTTATAACTGGCTTTACGACAGGATTGTACTAAATACATACTTACCTTTTTAGTGAACATTCTTTGAATTAAGTTGTATAACAGATATTTTGCCTGTTTTTTTTCTTGAAGCCTGAATTATTTCATTAGATTGTCTACGTGTTTTCCTTTCTTATTAGTATGTAGTACTAATATGTATAACATGTAACTATAATTATATTGAGTTCTGAAAATAGTCTTTAGTTCTGGCTATTAGTCTTTATTTTATTTAGAGACGGGGTCTCTCCATGTTGTCCATTGCTAGTCTTGAACTCCTGAGCTCAAGTGAGTCCTTCTGCCTTGGCTTTTGCAAAGTGCTGAGATTATAGGCATGAGCCATTGCACCCGGCTTTATAGTCTGTGTTGTAATATTTATTTTTCCTAATATATGCTTTTATTTTATTGTTAAAAAAAACATGACATGGCCAGGCATGGTGGCTCACGCTGTAAATCCCAGCACTTTGGGAGCCAAGGTGAGTGGGATCACCTCAGGTCAGGAGTTCAAGACCAGCCTGGCCAACATGGTGAAACCCTGTCTCTACTAAAAAATACAAAAAATTAGCCAGGTGTGATGGCACATAATCCCAGCTGTAATCCCAGCTACTCACCAGGAGTCTGAGGTAGGAGAATCACTTGAACTTAGGATGCCAGAAGGTTGCAGTGAGTAGAGATCATGCTGGTGCACTCCAGCCTGGGCAAACAAGAGTGAGTGACTTTGTTTCTAAAAAAAAAAAATTGTGACTTAAAGAAAAATCTTCTTGCCTTTGTTTAGTTTTATCTTTCCCAGGCAAGGACAATTTGGACCGATCTTTTACATGCTGTCCACAAGAAGTGCAGCTATAATAATCCAAGCATGTATTCCAGGTATGACACATTAGCTTGGAGTCAAGGGACTTTATAACCTTATTGGGATTTTCTTATAGCATATCTTTTATGTTTATCATCTCAAAAGTAAAGGAATTGTTCAAAGAAAACAAGAGATGCGTAATTTCTTTCACTAGAACATCATTTGAAGTGCGCTTTTCCTGGGTATGTGTGGTTTGCTATGGATACTTTAAAACTGGATTTGGTCTCATCCAAAATACTTAGTTTTCTAGTGGAAAGTTGTTTTTGAGAATCTAATCTAACGGTCCCATTATGCCATTGTAAAAAAGCCAATACAACTTTGTTTTGACTTTTTTTGTGGGATATGTGTATGGTGATGGTGTGAAAAGGGTGTTTGTTTTGCATTAAATTAAATCACAGAGCTAGTTTATTTCTGTTCTACTTGAAACCATGAAAACCTGAAAATTATATTTTTCCTGAGCCTTGTCCTTCTTTCGCAGGGCAGGAAATGTTAACTGTGTGTTTCTGTCTAGCACCTGCCACAGCCATATGCTTGCATATTCAGTGCTTGCCTATTTAACTTGTGATCCAATGACAGAAGTCTCGCAATTCTCTACGCTGGTTCTTATCCTGCTGACCTGCGCCGGACTTATCTATCATCTGCCTTCTTACTAGGGTTTGGACTTCCAAGGGTTCTTCTGCCCTCTGCCTTGAGAAACTAAGAGTTTTGTTGGTTAGCCTCTTGGCAGTAGGTAGACTCAGGAAGATTACAGTAGTCTTCCCAGGGTCTTGTTTACTCCTCATGCTTCAGTCTTCTTGCCTTACCGACAATATAGGAATACTAGTTATACCATTGAAACTGCCTCAAGAAGGAATTTTTGTTTTTTTTTTTTTTTTTGACACGAGTTCTTCCTTGTGTTCCCCAGGCTGAAGTGCAGTGGTTATGATCTCCGGCTCAATGCGAACCTCTGCCCTCCCTGGGTTCACACAATTCTCCTGCCTTAACCCTCCCTTAGTAGCTGGGATTGCGAGGCAACCACCACCACGCTGGCCTAAATTTTGGTAAATTGTTTTTAATAGAGACAGAGTTTCCACCGCATGTTGGCCAGGCTGGTCTCGCACTCCTCGAACCTCAAGTGATCCGCCTGGCTCTGCCTACCCAAAGGATGGATTACATGTGTGAAGCCACTGTACCTGGCTGAATTTTTATAAGGATAAATTGGGATGATAAATACGGAATGCAGATCAATAATTATTCTTGCGCGTTATTGGCTGAAGCCTGAGAGTCTGTATTTTTATCAGGCTCCCAAGTAATGTTGATGCTGTTGGTCCTGAACCAGACCTTGAAAACCAGGCACAGACATCTCAGAGCTGCTCTATATTTTCACATTTCTACCCCATTTAATGCTCAGCAATTTTAAGCGCTAGTTTAAAAGAACACCGATCTGCATATAAGTAATTTTAAAATTCAGAAAACAATGAGTTTTCTAAAAGGTACTGTTCTCAAAGAACTCATACATAGCCTATTTTGTCTTAACTTCCTTGTCTTAATTTTAATATATAGAGCAGAATTCCAAACACTAAAATTACTGATTCTAAAAAGTTTATATCCATGCTTGTATTTTTGAGCGTGGTATTTAAACTACATAAGATGAAAATGTATGAGGAGCCCAAATAATTAATTAATTAAAGGAAGAAAATTGCTCCTAACCTGCTGGTCAGAAAGTGAAAGCTGGTCCTCTGGAAAACCTGTTTGTGGCAGGAGGTGGGTTTTGAATAAGGAGTTGTGGTTCACTAAAGTCACTTCTCCAGCATCCATCCTCATCCTATCAGCAATATCATCTAGGGAGAGAGTCTGGATTAGTTCAAGTCACATAATTCTTCAATAATGTTTCCCCTATGAACCAATCTTTTCATCAAATAAAAACACTTCCCACCCAGGCATGGTGCCTCAAGCCTGTAATCTCAGCACTTAAGAGAGGCTGAGGCAGGAGGATTTTTTGAGGCCAGAAGTTCAAGACCTATCTAGGCAACATAGCAAGACCCTGTCTCTCCAAAAAATTAAAAAATGAGCCAGCAGGCCAGGTGCAGTGGCTCACACCTGTAATCCCAGCACTTTGGGAGGTCGAGGCGGGTGGATCACGAGGTCAGGAGTTCGAGACCAGCCTGGCCAACATGGTGAAACCTCATTTCTACTAAAAATACAAAAATCAGCCAGGCATGGTGGCGGGTACCTGCTACTCAGAAGGTGGAGGCAGGAATATTGCTTGACCCTGGGAGGAAGAGGTTGCAGTGGGCCAAGATCGCGCCATTGCACTCCAGCTTGGGCAACAGCAGCAAAACTCCATCTCAAAAAAAATAAAAATAAAAAAAGTTAGCCAGCCAATGTGGCACATGTCTGTAGCCTCAACTACTTGGGAAGCTGAGGCAGGAGGATTGCCTTGAGCCCATGAGTTCAAATTTACAGCGAGCTATCATCACATCACTGTACTCCAGCCTGGGTGACAGAGAGAGATCCTGTGTCTAACAATAATAACAAAAAAAGACAAAAAAAGAACTTGAAGAACAACTCTGCAATAAAATAAAATGCCTCTTTAATAGCTAACTAAAGGCAAAAATCTCATATTGTCATTGTCAACAGAGGTCCATGTACAGAAATTGGCTCATTGGTAGATGGCCTCAGTTAATTTCAAAACAATTCAAAACTTGTACACATATAAAAACAGCTTAATTTAAAGTTTTAAAAATAACAAGACCAGGCAAGGTGGCTCACACCTGTAATACTAGCACTTTGGGAGGCTGAGGCAGACGGATGGCTTAAGCCCAGGAGTTCGAGACCAGCCTGGGCAATATGGCAAAATCTCGTCTTTATTAAAAAACAAAACAAAACAAAACATTAGCCAGACGTGGTGGTGCATGCCTGTAGTCCCCACTACTCAGGAGGCTGAGCTGGGAGGATCCTCTGAGCGTGGGGAGGTCAAGGCTGCAGTGAACCATAACAGAGTCACTGCACTCCAGCCTGGGCGACAGAGTGAGACCCCATCTCAGGAAACAGCAAAGAAAAACACAAACAAAAAACAAAAATGCTCCCAAAAGAAACTTTTTAAACATTTTAACTACAGAAAAAAATTTAAATGTAAAAGATTGGGGCAAAAAATTCACCATTCAGTAATAAACACTGTTAACACTGGTTCATTTCCTGCTTTAACACAAAAAAGTGCTTTAAGACATAATCCACCTGCCAGGTGTGGTGGTTCACACCTGTAATCCCAGCACTTTGGGAGGCTGAGGTGGGTGGATCACTTACTTGAGGCCAGGAGTCTGAGAGCAGCCTGGCTAACATGGCAAAACCCCATCTCTACTAAAAATACACCAGGCATAGCGGTAATCCTAGCTACTTGGGAGGCTGAAGCATGAGAATCACTTGGACCCGGGAGGCGGAGGATGGAGTGAGCCAAGATAACACCATTGCACTCCAGTTTAGGCAAGAGAGTGAGACTCTGTCTCTAATAATAATAAGAATCATCATCATCATCATCATCATCATCATCATCATCTGCCTGAAATTTTTTAGAAGCATAATTTTATTCATATTGCTCTTAATAGGTATCAGCTCAATAACTATAACATTAGGGCAGAATTTTACTTTTGAACCATTTTTGATAACTTTATTACTACAGAAGAGCTAGAATAGAAGCAATAAAGGTAACAGAATTCAATGACTTACACTGGTATCAGCAATGAGAGAAAATGCAAACAAATGAACAGGGAAGGAGAAGGCAGACTAAGGAAAAGGAAAACACAGAATAGAGAGAAAGCTAATGTGAATCTAAAAGGAACATAGGGATGTTACAAAATCTAAGTGTACAGATTTTTCAACTTATTTCTAAATTAGCTACTAGTCCTGATCTTATATTGATCGCCTTAACAGACATAAAGTACTATAAATGAAATAGTGAAAAATGTCCTAATCACAATTCTCAGTAACACTAGCTAAATGAAATAAAATATTTACATTAATCAAATTGTCATTTAGAAGTCAGTATAACATAGTACTAAGGAACAAGAACTCTCGGCTGGGCACGGTGGCTCACCCCTGTAATCTCAGCACTGTGGGAGGCCAAGGCAGGCAGATCATGTGAGGTCAGGAGTTCAAGACCAGACTGGCCAACATGGTGAAATCCCATCTCTACTAAAATACAAAAATTAGCCGGATGTGGTGGCACACGCACGATTGTAATCCCAGCTACTTGGGAGGCTGAGACGGGGACTGCTTGAACCCAGGAGGCAGAGGTTGCAGTGAGTTGAGATCATACCACTACACTCTAGCCTGGGCGACACAGCGAGACTCCGTCTCAAAATAAAATAAAAAAAAGAACAAGAACTCTAGAAAACTCTAGAACCTGAGTGCCAAGGTTTAAATCCTGGCTCTGCCAGTTATAGCACATGACTCTAGGCAAGCTTCTTAACTTCTGTGTCTCAGTTTCCTCGTGATATAATAGGGATAATAACAGTAACCTACTTGGTAGGTGCTATTAGGTACCCTTGTAAGATGTTAGGAGTAAATGAACTAATATATTTTAAATACTTAGAACAGTGTCTAGTACACAGTAAATGTTTGCCAGGGTATATTTGGCTTTTTCAATATAATCAATGAGATAATACTCCTAAATGAGTACATAAACAATGTTCTAACCAAAAGATAATTATGTGGGCCGGGCGCAGTGGCTCATGCCTGTAATCCCAGCACTTTGGGAAGCCGAGGTGGGCAGATCACCTGAGGTCAGGAGTTTGAGACCAGCCTAGCCAACATGGCGAAACCCTGTCTCTATTAAAAACACGAAAATTAGCTGGACATGGTGGCACATGCCTGTAATCCCAGATACTTGGAAGGCTGAGGTAGGAGAATTGCTTGAACCCAGGAGACACAAGCTGCAGTGAGCAGAGATGGTGCCACTGCACTCCAGCCTGGGTGACAGAGCAACACTATATTTCGAAAAAAATAATAATAATAATTATGTTTGGCATATAGTATTACATAATTAGGATTAAGATTTCTCTTAAAATTATTATTAAGCACAAAGATACAAATACTGAAAATGTTAGGAAAACCCATTCTTTCACTCTAGCTTAACCAATGAGAGTAGCTAAAAGGATTCAACAACTAGTTAGTCTTACCCATTTCAAGTCTTTTCACATCACTGACTTTAGCAAAGACACAAAGTCCTATAAAAGAAGACACAAAACAGAAAAATTACATACTGAAACGCCTACTTCACTTAATTTTAGAAGGTGCAGCCACTAGAAGTGACATTTGTTTGTGTTCTTAGTGGAGAAAAATCTAAGGTGGTAAAGAGTTGACTTGATGGGAAAAGGGTAAAAACTAAAACTAGCTTGAGGTGCTTCCAAACATTTCTGCAACCTGTGCTACATTAAACAGCAATTACAGACTACCCACAGAATCACAGAATATTAAAGCAAGAAGCAAGCTGGGAGCGCCAACCCTTAAGAGACTGAGTGCTTTGCATAAAGTCATAATGTCAGCAACTACACCAAAATTATAACCTAGAAATTCTTCCCAACTCATTGTTCTATTACCTCATGCTAAATCACTTCACAAACAAGTGACAGACTTTGTGATGGTCCTATTAAGACTTTTCTTCCATCTCTTACTCAGCGGCCTGATACTCTAACGACAATCAAGGACTACTTTGGAGGAGTACAAAGTACTTCCCCTAACATCATCAATCAAACTGCTACAAACCAAAGCCCCTTTGTGTATATAAAAATTACTGTCTCCTCTGATATATCCACTTTTTCCACAAAATAAAGATGTTAAAAACCAAACTGCTGGCCGGGTGCGGTGGCTCACGCCTGTAATCCCAGCACTTTGGGAGGCCGAGGAGGGCGGATACCTTGAGGTCAGGAGTTGGAGGCCAGCCTGGCCAACATGGTGAAAACCCATCTCTACTAAAAATACAACAATTAGCCAGGTGTGGTGGTGCGTGCCTGTAGTCCCAGCTACTCGGGAGGCTGAGACAGGAGAATTGCTTGAACCCAGCAAGCAGAGGTTGCAGTAAGCCAAGATCACGCCACTGCAACAGAGCAAGGCTCTGTCTCAAAAAAAAAAAAAAAAACACAACCAAACTGCTTGGAACTAGGTTAATAAACATATCCTCGGCACATACGGTCTTGGCAGATTTCCAAGAGGAGGAGGCTACTAGGGATGGTAATAGTCACACCTATATATATTTATAATCTTATAACCATATTTTTTAAAATATTAAGCACTTCATCAACCACATAGCAATACTAGGGCTTCAATGTATTCATGAGGCTGGATGATGATAATAGGCATTCTTTGTGGTCACAATAATGAAAGTCACACAAAGGCTGGCTACTTCAAGTTTTCTTGGCATATGCGATCACGCCACTGCCCTCCAGCCTGGGCGACACAGCGAGACTCCGTCTCAAAAAAAAAAAGTTTTCTTGGCAGAGCTATAGACTAAGCAGAGTAATTATCTGATTACCTAGTATTGCCAGGAAGGATCCCTAAAGAATTTAAGCCTTAGATTTGGGCTTCAAATGTATTTCCAAATGCTCAACTTAAAAGACTTCTTTATCTAAAAATTCTTCAGGTTATTTTTTCCCCTTCTTTCTTCTTTAATAGAGTAGACTCCCTTTGGTTCCAGGTTAAGGGGGAAAAAAATCTTATCAACCAATACATTAGCAACACTTTTTTGACATTTTAAAGTTGCTTCATAATTGTCATTACTAGCCTTTTTAAAATTATTATTAAGAAGAATGCCAACTTAAAAGCTTGGTGCCCAAAAGAATAATCCCACGTTAATTTCCTTGCATTTTGTTGAGATAGATGTGAAGAGAAAAGGAAGCTAGAAATTCAAAGAATTTTACCGATCATATCCAGAGAGGTTAAATGACTTGCCTGAAATCACACAGATAGGGCAAAAAAAGGACAAGAATCCATGTATCCTGACTCCAGGGCAAAGGCACATTTCAAACATCATACAACTTCAAATCCTTTAACACAACCTCAAAGATTCATACACACTGGCAATTTAAAAGTAATCCCTCACTAACCCTGGGGAATCCACACTGATTTATAATTTTAAATAATTAAAACCCCACATTTATATTTTAATACAAATATATCCAGCTTCTTCAGTGTGCTTACGGTACATTCTTTTAGCCACTTGCAGTTACATTGGGAGAAGGAATATTTCACCCCAAGATTCTCCATGAAAATGCTGGATCTGGAACCTTGATGCCACCAAATTCATGCAACTGTAAAAATGTTTTCTTTTTTAAGAAATGATTCTAATAATTCATTTCCTAGTATACACTGGTCATGTAATTTACTGAAAGAACATAAACCATTACAAATATTCAGATGAAGTCAGGTTAGTAGTGGAACACAAGGTAATGGGAAATCTGAAAGAACAAAAAAGATCACAGTCTTCACAACTGTGGTGAAACATTTATAACCTTACACATACGCAAAGAGGGGATTATAAAAGACAATGTTTAGTGCTGTAAGGAAGTCACTAGAAAATATATATTGAGGCCGGGCGTGGTGGCTCACGTCTGTAATCCCAACACTTTGGGAGGCCGAGGAGGGCGGATCATGAGTTCAGCAGTTCGAGATGGGCCTGGCCAACATATTGAAACCCTGTCTCTACCAAAAATACAAAAATTAGCCAGGTGTGGTGGCAGGTGCCTATAATCCCAGCTACTTAGGAGGCTGAGGCAGGAGAATCGCTTGGGAGGCAGAGGTTGCAGAGAGCCGAGATCACGCCATTGCACTCCAGCCTGGGTGACAGAGCAAGACTCTGTCTAAAAAAAAAAAAAAAACACTATATCTATATCTATATCTGTATCTCTATGTCTCTCTCTCTCTATATATATATTTAGATCTATATATATCTATATAGGCCTTCTTTCTGGTCACAATAATGAAAGTCACACAAAGGAAGGCTGCTTAAAGTTTTCTTGGCATACAAGATCACGCCACTGCCCTCCAGCCTGGGCGACAGCGCGAGACTACATCTCAAAATATATAGATAGATAGATATAATTTCACCTATATATATCTATATACAGACATAGAGAGAAAGAGACAGAGAGAGAGAGAGAGAAACATGCAATGTTAGCTTTATCCAGGACCAAGATGTGGTTAGAACAATTTTTAAGAAGGGTGTGAAAGCAATCACGTGAAATCACCCTTTTCCAAGTTCTGAAAAACAATTATGTGTACAATAGTGTGTATTATATCGTCATGTGTTTGAGGTTTCTTCCCCTCTATTTTTACATGTAATCTCTCCCAATCAGACTCTAACACCTTAAACACCTTAATACTCGAACGCCGTAAACCCTAAGTATTCAAATTCTTTCATACACATTCATTTACCGGGCACCAACTATGTGCATTAAGAAAGGGTCCCTGCCACTGGGCAGCTCACTGTCTAGTAGGGAAAGCCAGATCCATAAACAGGTACAGCAAGACAATAGAGGTGGTACAACTGATAGAAGATGTAGAAGTTGGGAAGAAAAGGACAGAGTTCCAAAGCAATAGTCAAAAACTGCATTCCCTTAGGCAGAAGTAGTAGAACCTGTTTTTGTATCCATCCACTCCCTCTAGACAACTCATTAGATGAGTGATATGAAGACCATCTTTGCAGTTGGGATAATTAATTGAAGTCAGTTAAAAATGAAAAAGTATTCCTAAAAGGGACTAGAGAGGAAAAATAAAGGGTGGTTGGGCGGGGGGAGATGTAAACTGGAAGTAAGTTAAGGGATCATGCTTAAAGAGATGCTTAAAGTTGCACTGTAACTGTAATTTCAAAGTCAGGGTAATCTGTATTTCAACATGAGTCCTTAACACAAATTATTTTTATGAAGAATAAAGATTTAGGAGATGATGTGATCTAATCCACCCAGAATAACCAGTTATAACAAAGACCGTCAGTCAAATAGTTGGTAGTAGATAAAAGGCTTTATATGAATATTACAAGAATCACCACCACTCCAAATATACTAAGTGTACCAAATATGAAGTAAAATGACTTTAACAAGGCTGACTTGAAAGTGATAAAGGAGCAAGTTATTGCCAACCAGATAGTGGAAACACTGCACAGGCACCGATAAACAGAAATCACCAAGCTCAAGGAAAGAGAAACGATCCAGAGATCACGTTAGGGTACACCAAGAAAGAGACGGTTCAAGGGAATTACCAGGAGGCGATGAGCCAGGTAAGCAAATTGTGGTAGTTAAGGGGATTTTCATAACCTGAGCAGGAGGGTCCAGACGTTTCTTTCTGGTGGTGGCACTAGCGATATCACATCTCAGGGAGATACCACAGAGTAAGAGAGTTGGAGAAATGTTTACGTGAGACGCAGAAGTAGTCGAGAAATATCACTGGGGTCTCAAGGAAGGCGGGAGATGAAGCCGGTACCACAGAAAGCCAAGCTTCCCGTTGAAAACAGCTCTCCCTAGAGAAGACCCTGCTCTGGCGGGAAAGCCCCGGAATCGCAACCGGCCTTTTCCCAAGTACCGCTGGGCGCTGGGATGGGGCCTGCTGTAATGGCAGGGAGACGGCCTCTCCGCGGCCCAGGAGAGAGAGACCAGAAGGAACGGCCTCAGGTAGCCTAACGGCCACCGGCGGCCACAGCGCGGCCACCGGACAGCAGGGGGGAGGGGAGGTGGTCCCAGGGGGCGGGGCAGAGGAAAAGGCGCCGGCCCCACCGTGCTCCCCGCTTCCGCCCAGTCCAGCCCGGGCCGGCGCACCGGGTCCGACACAGTCTCCTGGACCAGGCTCCCTCCATCCTCACCCCTCCCCCAGCTTCCCGCCGCCACTCACCGAACCGGAACCGGCTGCCATGCGAAGGGGTTTCCGGCCGGGCGCGGAACGCAAAACCCGGGAACCGCCGCGAACCGGAACCGCCTTCACAGCACCGGAAGAGCCGCTAGGTGGCTGCAGAGGAGGGGGCTGGGGCAGGAGGTCAAAGAACAGAGTTAAGGACCAGTGGGACGCCTGCGCGGTGTGCCGAGGCCCGAGAAGCCAAGGGAGCGTTTAAGACTTGTTGTAATTTCTCAGTACCTTTTTCAGTCTGGGCGTTTTCGCTTTCTCGTACTCGGAATACTGTTAGTGTGCCCTTCGTCCTATGCTTTTCTGTGTTCCCTCAGCTCCCTTACTCGCCGCCTTCTGGTTCCGCACGGCGAGTTTTGCTTGGGTTCCAGTTTCCATGGCAGCTTTTCGCTGTGGCCCTAAATTTGCGGAAACCTGTGGCTTCCCCCGACAGATGGGGACCTGAGATCTAAATCGATCTCAGGCTATCTCGTGTTTTATTGAGAATCACAGAACGTTAGTGCTCGTAGAGGTTATTGGAGATATTTTAGTGTTACCAGGATCAGAGAAGTGAAGGGATTTCCCAAGGGTTTTAAGTGCACGGCCCATCTAAGACTAGGAAACAAGTTTCTTAACTTGCAGTCCTATACTCTGCACCACCTCATGCTTGATTGACCATTCAGCAAACAAAAAAAAAAAAAAAAAAGAAGAAGAAAGCATCTTGAGGATGGATTAGGCTAGACGCTGGCAAGATGTAGAAACTTCGAGAACTCTGGAGGAATTTGAAAGACAGGCAGAGCTGTGAGGAAAGCTTTTGGGAGCCCACTAGAGATCTGGTTTTCTGGGTAGAGATAGAGAAGGACCCAGGAATCACCTCTGACCTCTGAAGGGCTTTGTTGTTCCTGGGACACATTGATTAACCTGGAATCTGACATACTTTTTAAAATAAAATAATGGGAAGAAATATGTTTGTTCATCCAGGCTGTTTGTCAAGCACTTCAGCTTGGCAGGCCTCTGGACCCAGGCCCTGTAGAAGTCTTAGAGAAATGCCCCCTTAGTAGGTCCTTTACACTCAGATCACAGCCACAGGCACAGTCTGAGCTCAGACTTGAAGAAGGGTAGTTTGTGGAGGCCCCCAGCCTTTCTGATACTCTCAGAAGCTTACTGAGTTCAGGGGATCCTGCCCTGTCAAATACATCAAAGTAGATTATTTGTGTTGCCTCATATGCTGATACTTTTATATTGTCAAGTCCTAAGGCCTAGTAGTAGTGAGCATAGCTGGTCTATGTCAGTCATTGACATCTTATTCCAGAGCTCTGTTCGTTTGGATTAAACTCTGTCTCTATTTCTAGGAGGGAGCCATGCATAAAGACGAGTTTCATCTGAAATTTTTCATGTGTGTGATTCAATCTCGCCAGTTAGTCAGGACTCCTCAGAGAACAGGTACCATTGTCTCCTGATCATACTCCAGTGACAGAGAATGAGTTCTCTCACAAGAAGTCTCAATACAGGATGTGAAGCTTTCTAGTATAAATACGGATTTTAGGGGTCAACTGACTAGTTTATCACATTCTCACTTTGATAAAATATTGATCACTGAGTCATGTATTTTCCAGGTAAGATTTTTGACCTGGTTTGTTGTGATAGTCACCAGGCAGATAAGGAGGACTTGAGAGTTGAGGGGGGAACAAAATTTACCCCATGAGTTGTTCATTGATTTCTGTGTTGTTATGTGAATTACTTTGACCAGTCTGGGCTCATCTGTGGGAATCTTTATTGTCATTATAACTGACACTCCAAAACTATCAAGTAAATCAAGCCTTAAGGAAAAATGGCCTTCTCATCCACCCCACCTCAAAGTATCTAGTTATATGTTCTGCTTTTCCCCCATGTATGTCAAGGAAATGGAATCTTTTTGAGGTAAGAGAGTTGTTGAGAACAGTCATCGCTTCTCTAATTTTTCACTGGATTTTTGGAAAGAAAGCCCTGAACAGCTCAGAGTCATAGGAAAAATGAAAGGGAGTAAGAAACACTCCCTTCCCTGAATCCCACCTTGAGGGTGACCTAAAACTATTGTTTCTCAGCTGGGGAAGCTTCTACTTCCAGCATGCTCATACCAAAGCCACCAACAAAGACAGACACCTTGAAGAGTCTAGATACTTTGGATGATCCAGACACCGTAAGAAGCATACCCGTTTTCAAAACTGGTGAGGCATGTGGGTAAACAGCAAGAAATGTGCAAAGGAATACGGGAAAGTGAAAGTTGTATGCATAGTGTTATAAATCAGGGTAGAGCTACTGAAGTAAAGCTGAAATACAAGTTAAGACCCAAGGGGGAAAGTCTGTGTGTGTGAAACAGAGAGAGAGAGAAAGAGAAAGAGGGATGGGGAGGGAAAGGAAAAAGGGAGAGAGTGGGGGATGGATCATCTGGGAAACTGTAGGGAAATGGACATTTCTCTCTATGAAGAATAACTTAATTTGGTCAATATTAAATCAGTTGGCTCATAACTGTAAACTACTAATCTGGTTTTTCCTATTGTCAGCATCCTTGATATATAAATATGTGAAACTTAAAAAAATCGACTAAAAGAGTTACTATTTTACAAAATGATTCCAAATATTGTAAAAAATTTTCATCTTAGGAAACCGTTTAATAATAGATTTCTCATGTATGTTTTAAATAATGTTCAATTCACAAGCAATTTATACGAAGCTTCAGAAACACATCTGTATGTTTCGTCTCAACTTAATTACATCTATATTGGAGTCAATTCACTGCAAATCTTTATCAAGTTCCCACTATTTGCCCAATAATATACTAGAAATGATAGGTTATAAAACATACGTATAAGACATATCCTTGCCATTGCCCCAGTAGCTTACAGTTTGGAAATACCTTAGCGATTATTTAGCTCAACTCTCTTATATTTTCAGAAGGAACTCAGGACTAAAAGGTTTTCCTCGGAAAGTTAATAATTTCATTAAAGTAACAACTCCTAGCACTTATGAAATATATATCAGTATTTAGCCATATTTTTGGGCACTCACATTTGAAATCATTGGACTAGACTCTCTAGGAAATGAGAAAATGAACTAGACACTTTCCTTGTTTCCTACGATCTTATGATTAAGGAGGGGAGATAATATGGAACAATGTGTAAGTTAAGAACTTAATAACAACTTTGGTTCAAAATGTTGAATTGGTTCAAAATAAGAAGTCATAGATATATAGAGAAGGGAAGAACCAGCTGACTGCTCAGAGCCAGTTATCTGCTCTGATGAGATGAATGCCACTGCCTTGCTCCATTTCTTACCTCTAGGCAATGCATCACTCTAGGGCACCAGTGAAATGGTGAGGAACTCATGTCATCAAACAGCAGAGATGAGCACAGAGCTACTGGTACCCAAACATAAAAAAACCCTGGCCTGATGTCTTTCTGCTCCTGCCAGCCCAAGAAATTCACAGGGACTCCTCCCTCCAGGGTGTTCTGCTCCTTGTTCTAAGTGCAGTTGTACATGGAGATTCTGTGCTCTAGTCCTTAAGAAAAATGGAATATATTTCTTTCTTGTCTCATACCTGGCAGGGAAGCAGCTGTTGTTTTTTCCAACATCTTGCCTATCAGTATAAGTAGCTCTGCCTGTACTATAATGAGGCAGGCTGTGTGTGTGTGTGGCCCATAGAGGATCAGCTCCTGACATAAGAAAGCCACTTGATCCTGCACTGGGGCGTAGCAAGGGTGTGAGTCACCTAGGCTGTACCCTTTACCCCTATGTCCTGACCCCTAGGCTTTGTAAAGAAAGGTAGTTAGCATTTCAAGATAGGTAAGATAGGTAAGAGTGTGGGACAACTACCTCCAGGACAAAAGCTCAGGGGTAGCAGGCACCTTTGTGGTACAGGCTCTGATCCAGCAGATCCAGCTGCCGACTAGACATAAAGCCTCTCCTGTATATAAAGACTTCGATGATGGGCAACCTGCCTAGGTAACTAGTGACTCTCAAGACTACTTTTAGTGACCTGAAAATGGGGAAGCATTCCAAAGGAGTGGTGCTTCACCCATTTGCTTCTTGTGTCACAGCTTCTCCCTGGAAGATAAGACCTTACTATCATATTCTTCACTTCATCTAGGCCATCTATCATCAGCATTGCCCATGCCCCCTGCTGCCCTTCTGATTCTCTGTACCTGGGTATTCTGTACACTCACACCTAGGTGAATTATGCAGACAAGGATGCAGTTACCCCAGCGTTGTGAGTGCAACTGAAATGTACAGATTACAATTGCTGTCCATGATCCAAGTTCCCTTCAAGCAGGTGTATTTGCTTTCTGCATCAGAGGCAAGATTCTCTCTATATATGCTATGTTGTAGCAATCCAAGAAGCTGGACCCTTGCTGAAGGAAAATCAATGGGAGTTCTGCCTCTATCAAGATTGCCTTAATCTCAACATAGTCACCATTCGTCATTGACCTCCTGACCCCAGACTTCCAGAATCAGTTCCACAGAACTTGAGTCTTCTCCTGGAGCTAAAATTTTCAGGGCTCTTACATTGCCAACTGAATTGGGAAAGTCATTGAGTGGGAAATACCACCTTATGAATGCTCTTCTTTCAGTCAAGTATGCAAGGATATCAATAGATCTATGGAACACTTCTTTCATCTTCCATCATTTTGTATATATACACTTGGACCGCCCTTCTCTGGGT